AAAAAGGGGAAAAGTGGTAATCGGGTTTGGATATTTTTTTTTTTTTTTTTTTTTTTTTTTTTTTTTTTTTCACTTGGATGGTTACATTTGTACCTATCTCTATTTTGGAATATACGATAGTCTCTTTTCTACCTTTTGTAATTGTCGAGACATTACGTGATTCTGATAGTCTTTCATATAGTTTTGGCTTTTTTCCTTGCACCGCTTTTAGAAATCTTTATTAACTCATAACATTTTTTACTGTCTTTTGCAAGATGCTGAAATTACTCTTCCCATCAAAATGTTCAATATGCTAAAACTTTATCCTAGATATCATCCTGAGTTTTTTTTTTTAAATTTTCACCACAACTTTGATATGAGTTGTTGGGAGAACTACAACCTATACTCAGGAAGCAGAAAAATAAACTAAAACAAAAATAATAGAAAAACAGAGAAGATAAATATTTACGAGGTTCAAAAACATTTCCTACATCCACACAGTGAGAGAAAAATTCATTAACCGTTTTAGAATTACAAGCTGAATAAACTTTCTCATTTTTTCTCTCTACCTAAAATCCCTTACATTCTTGTCTATCTCTCTTCTCACACTTTTCTCTATTTTTTTTTTCTCAAAAAACACTCTTTTTCTGCACTTCTTTCTAAATATATAACCCCCGAGAAAACAATAACTTACCAAAAAAATACAAAATAGTAACTTTTTCAAAACCACACTCTACAATTGTTATGTATGATTAGATTTATGTTGGGTCCCACTTTTTTTAGAAGTGAAGATAGAGTTAAGCGCACTAGATCTAATTGGCTTTGCGCTGTTTTCTTTCACACTCTCTCTCGAACAATGTTAACGAACAATGCCACTTATTTGTCGTCGACCACAAAGTTTCTTTTGGTTTTTTTTTTTTTTAACTATATATTTGACAACAAAATTTCAAGCAGTAGACTAATTTCACTTTTTTAATTTGTTGTTTTCAAAGCATTTACGAACCAAACTATTAGACATGTAGAAATATTTTGAAAAACAAAAAGAAAAGTACATTGACAAGTTGGTGTTTAGTCAGTTAAGGGTTTGTTCGGTGCTGCTTTTTAGAGGATTTTTTAGCTATTTATAATAATTTACAGTGGGAAGAATATTTAGTAACCCTGGTTGCAGATTCTAAAAGTTATATTGCCCAACAATGGAATTTGAGAAGCATTTTAGCCTTTTTTTTATTTTTTGCATATCGGTTTCTATTTTTAAATGGCTGTAACTTTTGAGTAACAACACAACTAGAACAAATAGTTTAAAAACAAAAGAATATCATTGCGAAAAGGGAAAGAAAAACAGCACAATAATGTTAAGTTATCCCCTAATTATTAGCCAAATTAAGGTGAATTTTTCAGTTTTTTTTTTTTTTTGGTTTGCAGAGAACGTGATGTAATTTAGTTTGCCAAACATTAATGGAGACATTAAATCAAAAAATAAATTTGTTTTTTCCGCTGCCCTTATTAAAAAAAAAAGGTTTCCTTTCGAAGGAAGACCCAAAACTCAAGGGCATGTGATGAATTAATACAATACAAAATTCAATTAATTTTGTTCCTTTGAGCAAGAGTTTATGCTTTAACATATAAATCACCGCACCTACTTGTAATTTTAAGTTTCCAATATTATTAGCACTTTTGGGCTCTGTTCTTTCCACAGTTTGAATAACAATTTAAACTTTTTACTACAATATTTTCTCTCACAAAAATTTAAATTTAACTTTTTTACTACAATACATTTTCTGACATAAATTTTGTTTTAATTCAAGTTTTCAACTCAAACCCACAAAAGAAGAGAGTGTAGTCTCTCAGTTATAAGTATAATGACAATTTGATCCTAAACTTTTGTTTTGACATATAGCACATTAACCTGTCTATAAAATAGATTTCTATAATTTAACAAAGATATATAATCATGTGTCCATATAACAACTCAAACAAATAAGTGTAATTATGAAATTATAAGGAAGATAAGCAATAATTTATATATAATTATTTGCGTATGATGTTTTATGTCCCAAACCTATATGATAGGTCATGTTAAGTTTCATCTCCCAGGTGATTGTGAAAAGGTTCAATGTGTCATGATACATGAACAGGCCAAGATAAGTGACATGATATATATATATATATATATATATATATATATGTATGTGATGTGATAGTGATCTTTTATATTTTAATGTCTTTATATGTTATATTATATGGTCTTAATGAATATTAAACATGCACATCGGAACGTTTCATGTTATTCTTTTCAAGTCTTTTATCCATTCATATGATGTTACTTTTAATGGCTTTTTTTTTTTTTTTTATACTCTAAAAATTTTTGAATTAGAAAAGTTGTATTTTACAGAAAATTGTACATCATTTCGTTATCTTTCTAGCGCCACTTGGTATTTGCTCAATTTCAATGTTGTAGCCATACCAAAATATTCTCCTTGATCTCTCTAGTTTCTTCCTCTCTAGTCAAAATAATTTTCTCTATTTCTCCTCTCTCTAGTTCTTCTAAAGTAAAGAATAATTTTTCAGATAAAAAAAAAGTAAGGAATAATTTGAGTTTCACTTTGATATATGAACTACTAAAAACGGATATTTGTAGTTTAAGATATGAATTTTAAAACTTTGTACACTGTTGCTGGAAGTTTTTGTAAAATGAGACTTTTAGGGTCTGATTGTAATGAATTCTCATAATCTTAACGAAGTGGTATCGCATAGATAATATTTTCAAAAGGAAGTTTGAGATGCCTAGCTCCATGCGGGATAGGAATTATACGTTTTCAAATTTTCTAAAATTTGTTATAAATTGTTTCATACATGTCGACGAATTTGTCCATATATATGCTGATAATATGTTGGTTTTGCATACAGCTTTTGTAACACTTTTTTTTTTTTTTCTTAATAGAATTGACACCACATGTTGCATATAGGGACATCTTTTTTTTTTTCACTTTATATGTATATTATTCAGGTTCAACCACAGGGCTTTAAGTATATAGGTGTCTATTTACTTTTCACGAAATTAAAAAGAGAATGTATATTTTTCCTTTTATCGCGTTGAGTCATCGATTTGCATCACTTCAAATCTTTGATATGGATGTAAGGATAATTTGAGACCCTTTAGCAAATAATTATATTTTGTCTTTCTATATTTAGGCATTTAGCAAATAATTATATAATTTGAGACCCTTGATATTTCTTTAATTATCAATTTGCATAGGATAGGTTCGGGTGAATAATGGTGATTAGACAAAGATCAAAAGAAAGGTAAGGACATCCTAAGAACAATACGACATATGTAAATAAGACTTTAAGAACACTATGTATCCCTAGTTTGTATCCTTGGTACTTTTGGAGCAAACGAAGAAGAATTCTCTATCAAGTGTAAAGCCTTGTGCAACCATGTGAATATGGGAGATAATAATCACAGGTTTGAGAGATAAATAAATATGAAGCATGATAAGAAAAAGACAAAAAGGTTGTATGAGATGAAGACAACTGGTGTGGTGAAAATAAAATGCGAATAAGTACATGTAGTGGCAAGAGTATAGAATAAGAAACTTTTTTGTTTTTTTTTTTGAAAAGATGAGATCAATTGACAACTAAGAATATATATGAAAAGATTTTACATGCGTTATTTAACAACAAGTTTTCTGTGGTCCACCTAGACGATTGTCCTCAAAGCATATGATACGATAAAGAGGGTGTTGTTTATCATATTCAAAGTTTAGAGAAAATGTGACAAAAGGTAGGATATATCATACATATTTAGAATTTTGAATATATCTCTTATCTTTATCTTTTAATCTCTTAATGTCATAAAAATGGAAAATGAAGTTTTCACCTTTCGGTGAGAAGGATTGAGATAGGATTCCTTTCCGAGGGTAAGACGGCCAACCTTATCCCCAAGAGAAAATTGGTGGACTCACCATTTTAATACATTGTTTTAAAATTTTTAATCTTTACTCTTGATTAATTCCTAATAAATATAGTTCTTTGACTAAAAGGTATTAATCTAGTGTAAGGAGTTAAAGACCGAATTGGGATTTTATGAACCAAACATTATCAATGATTTCAACAACACAAAGCCACATCCAGTATATAGTATTCTTTTCGTTGCTTTTTTTTTTTTTTTTTTTTAAGCAACCACCAACTTCAATCTTTCCACTGATCCATTTTCCTTTTGAATTAGCTAGTCCTATAAGCATATTCAAGTGTGGTTTGAGTATCAAAAACGGATCTAACAATTAGTATCAGAGTGGGTTACTAACATTAGTTTGGTGAGAGATTTACGGAAAAGATCCGTGTTTGCAGGTATATTGTACGAGTTTGAGTCTTGGCAAAATTTTTCCGTTAAATTACATACGGCCAGGATGTCAGGGGAGCAGGATATAAAAATTGTTGAGGTTATATTCAGGGGGAGCAATATACAAAAAATAAAGAATTCAGAGTTGATACACAGTCTATTGTTGCACTGATAACTTCTGTGAGGTTGAGTTGAAGCTACTTCCAGTTCATACAGATTTCTACAGTATTTTCACATTGGCTATTGTTTTACCAAAAAGTGGGAGTATTATTAGTTTTTCAATTAATGGTTTTTTGCTTTATTTTTGTTTTTATAGATTTTCTAAAAAATGTTAAAGAGTGAGATTGTTAGGTTCAGATTTTGAATGTTGGCATTATTGGCGACCATATTATGTGTTGAGAAAAATTCAAAAACCAAAATCCTGCAAGTTGTGCGTGCAGATCAAGCCAATTACAGAGT